CCTCAACACATTCGTCTGTTCTGTCCCAAGCTTTCAACGTCAGATGACATCCACCTCGACATCGCGGCATTGATGATAAGCTCGAACATGAACAAAAACAGATGCACGGCAGAAATCAAAGGGTAAGAGAAGACGAACTGATGAGTAGCATATTTGCAGAATATGCATAGAGTATTTCTATGCTGGTATCTCTGCAGCCACGTGCACAAATCGCATGATTTCCCAGCGATATGTATTTAGGGGAGGTGGACTTGGAAGTCAGGTGCAAAGCGCAGAGGAGGGCACGCATTGCAGTAATTGCGCACGGTGGATACACGGTTCTCGCCACTTTTCGGAATTCATTGGTCGCCGACATCGCAAACTTGCATTGTACATTCACTTGTTTGCGTGCGACGAGCCATATGAGCATAGGTAGTTCTATATTCATTATTTGACTTCATTATATGCTTCGCGCGCAGAGAGGAAGGGCAGCGCTCTTCTGGGCGGCATCACATGGTCGTGCAGCTGTTGAGGAGAAGCTTCTTGCCGGCGGCGCTGACGTCAACCATGAGAATGACGTATGGCAACTGCTTAGCAGTTGCGAATCAGAATTCCTGTGCCGTGTATTGCAGCGAAGGCCAACAAACGCATTGGTCATCTCCTGACTGTCTGCTCACAAACTTCGCCCTAACCTGGCTTGCACTGAGAAGAACATAATCAGTTTTGCTCCAGAACATTGCATGCTATACATGCCAACTGAGATGTCGTATGTCGGAATAAAGAACCACATAGCATTAACAGCAGGAAAGCAGTTTCATTTTAAATGCAATTTCGGTTTAGCTTGCTACCATTTATGGTATTTCTGCGGGACTAAACGGTTGCTGCATGCGGGCACTGCGGCAGGATTGTATTTGTTGATATGACCTTTTCGTCCGAATTTACAAGACCTTCATGTGCTGTTGATCGCACTTCCTGCTAAAGGCCGCATGATTTCCAGCCAGTTTGAATAAACATATTGTTCGGAATCTCTTCTGCCGCCTTGCTGAGTAAGGTACAAGATCAGGGCAAATTCTGATTGAGATAATGCGAAACGCTGCAGTAGTATTGCTCTATTAAAATCAACTGTTATAAAAATACCTGATCTGAGCTCAGAATGGATGCACAAAGGATGGAGCAGAGCAGAGCAAACATACAATTTGCAGTCAATTATGCCTAGCGGTGAATGCAGTATGTTGAAAGTCTGGATTGTCCGCATTGCTAGCATAGTTGCTAGCTTTCCTTATTGTTTAGGCAATGTGATGATGTATGGATATTGATAATCACAGCAGATGCCATCGCCCACAGTCAGGCATGGTTTGTTTGGCATATGTCATCAACGATGGGGGCGATGTCGGTAACGCTATTGCAGTGGTACAATGCAGGTGTCGAAAAGGAGATCACCATTGGCAAGTGGCTCACAGGCACGAGATCATGATGGGGTCGAGTCTCCATCAAGCGACGTTCATGCTCTAAAACTGGCATCCACTCAACAAAAGATACTGTTTACAGCTGTTTTTTAACAGAAGAAGTTCAGGATACGAATGTGTAACACAACTATTGTGATTGTTACGTGGTATTATGTAATTTTGTTACTGCATCAGGAGTATCATATGGATAGACCACATCACGACTAAGCGCTATTATCGCTCTGTAAGTCACACATTGCGACAGCTGGCAATGTGTGCTTAGTGGCAACAGGCTGTTACCATGCCCTGCGGGCTTCTAGGAGTTGGGGTCCCTGCTGGTTGCCGCAAGTCGGTACTCACCGCAGCCATTGGATCTCTAATGCAGACGTCCATAATATCTACACAATGAGACTATTTTGAACGATGCAACAACCCCTCACATGCTTATTTTTGCCACAGGAAGGAAACAAGGCATAACTACTGCCGGCCAAGTACGGTCGCGGCGGTACTCTTCTGGCTGGCGGTGCTGACGTCCACCGCGTAAACAAGGTGCGTTGTCCGCCGAGATTGCTAATTCTTCCTCTGCCCCATACGAGCCTTCATCTCTGTGAAACATGGATTCTGACAAAACCAGTCTTCAGGATATGCGGAATCGAAGATATCACAGTCCAACCTGTGTAGTTCTGCTGCCTTCTGCGCTTTTCTATCTCTGGAACTCAAGTGGCCCAAGAACAGGCTGCCCATCTGCGACGCACTGGCATTCTGGGGAATTTGGCATTTCTGCCTTACCGGTCTCCTGAGCCCACCCGGTCGTGTACCCACACGACAAACTCTTACAGTTCATCACATACTGAATGTATCGTACCCGAAGTTCCCATCCTTCAAGTTTGCCCTTTGCCTCGCTAGTACTTAATGCCACTCAGAGATTGACTCACCCCATGAGTCAGTCCACTAATCCCGTACTTCACTCCCTTCACTCCCTCTCCATCCCACAACTAAACCGAACACCACTCTCTAGGGTGGGAGGGCTGGGTGCGAAACAAGATACGCAGGGGGACCGAGGGGTACGCATAAATAGTCGCCCCCGCTCCGCCCCGCCAAAGGCCGCCAAACCCGAGGGCGCCAAGGTTGGCGGCACCTCGTATTTTCGTACTTTGACCCACGGTACTAGGGTGGCCAGAAATCCCAAAGGACGGGGGCTGAATAAACCCCGGGTTCAAAACTGCGCCGTTTGAATCGCCGGCGCAGCCCTCCCAACGTCTCCCTTGTCAGAAACCCATTAATAAGATAGTTAATTCCATTTACCGTTGTGCGAATTGAACTACCTTTTACGTTAGTGTTGTGTTGATGGAGCGTTGCACGAGGGCTGCTGCTGGCCCGTCAAATGGCGTGTGGACTGTGTTCCGTTCCGTTTCCACTTATTTTGTCAAGATTCAGTAGTGCGCTCTTGAAGAAAAAGAAAGTGGTAGCTTGATTTTATCCTGATTTAGTTTACATCATGTGAAGTACCCTTTCGTGCATGATCAGCACATCGGTCTTGCACCCGCCTTGCCTCTCCCCACCTTACCCAAAAAGAAAGTGCCTGAAGCTTGTGTCCTGCCATGCTCAGTCTAAATGAGAACTTCTTGTGGTGAGACGACAGAGTCACAGACGGAGGCTCAGAAGCGACAACAGGCTTCCGAAATGCATGGAACGCCGGACGTCTGCTATTGTTTCAACAATCCCCGGTTGGCAAACACACTGGCAACAAAAAGCAACATAAAGTACAGTTCACATTACGAGCTTCGGCCCCCTCCAATGTGCCTTGCATCGCCATTGCACTATTTTCTGCACCTTACAGGTTCAATTTGGAACCGAAACGAGCAACATGGCCAATGTGCTGCAATTGAGAGATTGGTTGGGCTGCCTGCCCATCACGGTCATGCGTGGTCAACCCAGGCGGCGTTCAGCAATTCTAATGTCGCACTGCATGCACTGCTGTAGTACTGTGCTGTACATACATCTATTGTATATGCATACATAATATATTATAGTACTGCAGTGCATGCACTACTGCAGTGTGGAACTGTGCCATTTAATTGATCGGATAAGCCTGTCGATGCATTTGCTAATTCCAATCGAGCCTGGTACATGGCTTTCCTTCCGCAGGCAAAGGCACACGATAGGCATTTCCACTGCTGGCTCATTGTTCTGAAATCGAAGCGTGACAGAATTCGTGCATTCGCTGCTCGCAGGATGGAGAGACCGCCCTTGCGCTGAGCGCTGAGGCTCACGCGAGTGGGTTTATGAAAAGTCGTCGACATTCGCTCCGCCACGGAGTGAGGCAATAGTAGTGCCCGGGGTGTTGCAGCCTCGGACGCAGTCTGACACATCCTTCAATTGCGTCAGTGGCCATGGGGGTGCCGATTCTATTTCGCATCTCTCGGCAATCCTCAAAGTTGTTTTGGTGCGTCCTCACACATTTTGTGGGGGCATTTTGGGGGAGCTCGGGTCCCACCACGGCATCCATTCGATGCCCTGGGCTGTACGCAGCTGCGAAGTCCAAAGGAGAATTCTATCCAGAGTTCATTGTGGCACAGCCTCAGAGTCTTGCTGTGGTATTAAGGCGCTGGCGCACCCCACAGTACGAGAAGTCCATATTGCACCTCCGCTGGCAGGGTTGCATGAGAGAATGAGAGGATGCTGCATGGGCCTCTTTGCGCTTGCTCTGCTTTTCTGGGGTATGAGGGTACAAAAAAACCCATAAACGTAAAGCGTGCTCATCAACCACCACAAGCCCGAAAACGACCCTCGTGACCTTCACGTCCATATACAAGGTATTGGGCATTTGTTTGAAAAGTTGCGCCCCGTCTTTTAGCATTAGGGAAAAAAGGGCCAAATGACACGTGCTCAAACGTGTACAAAGTTTACGGGTTTGTGTCATTTTTGTGTTCTTGGCGTGCAGAACTTTGATGAAACGTGTTTTATGTGTGTTTGCAAAAGTGTTATCAGGTCATTTTTTCCCTAGTGTAGGTACCACCGACCCAACAAATTGACAGTACCTTGAGCACATGTTTCTTGAGCTTAGCGGCAATTTGGAAGCAAGCGTGAGGAAGTCCACATAGCTTCGCACCATAGCTCGAAACCACAGCGTTGGGCTGCTGCGGTTGCTCCCCCAAATGCAATTCCGGTGCTCCCCATATCCAACTTGTTGCAAGAATTGTGGCACAGAAATAACAGATTTCGCAGCAGAAGCGAAACTGTCCCTTGTGCAACACACCATCGTGCGGGCATCCGTGCACTGCATTCCAGCGTGAACTTCGACCCTCCAGTAGCGACGATAAAGTGCAAGAACAACGACCGCCCGCCTGGCCTCAGCTGTCCTGAACCCACTGCCATAACGCAGATCAAAGTGCAACCTTACTGGTACAACTCACTTGGCATTTCAACCTAGATACACTCCAAAGATACATTCCAACTGCCTGCCCCTGCCTCTTACCCTTGCCAGGAACCGCACCCCAATAAAATCCCAACATCCCTAACGATTCCCACCGCTCTCGACAAAATTCCCCCATCGCCCCTACTTCATCAAACGCCCTACCTGGGGGGGTGCTGCTCCCCATGCGGGCTGTGCGCCCTGTCCCTCCCCATGTGCCTCTCGGTGCTGTCCCTGGCTCCGGCCTGTGGCTCTCTGGGCTGGCCGAGGGCCCCCTGGCCTGCCGCGGCCGCCACCCGGCCCGTCATCGGAGACGCCTGGGCCACCACCCAAGACCCCATCACCCCCCCCTGCTGGATCACCTGCTCGCAGCCAGCCCTGCCCATCTCCAGGCCGCCCAGCGTCGGCCTCAATGCGCCGTCCCCCTCGTGCGGCACCCCGCCGCCACCGCTGACGAATCTAATCCTGGGCATGTTGGCGTGCATGCCGTAGGCAGGGTCCCTCAGGGTGATGGGCAGCCCGTGCAGGATCCGCCCCTGCGTGGCCTCGGAGGCGGCCAGCGAGCGGCTCTGCAGCTGCGAGTACAGTTGCTGCTGCTGGGCGAGCGTGAGGGAGACGGGTCCAGCAGAGGTCAGGACAGCAGGAGCGCGGAGAGAGGAGAGGGGCCCCCGTTTGTGCATTGTCTGGAATCCGGTGCTGGGCTGCGCCCTGGCGTGCTGGCCCTGAGGCTGGGACTGGGATTGGTAGGCCTGGTGGGCGGGCCGGACGCCCACCAGCCCGCCAGCACCCAACTCCGCCGCCTTGATGCCCTTTCCAGAGACGATCGGGATGTTCTTCAGCGCCGAGAGCTGGGCCAGCAGGTGGCTGCCCTGTCCCGACCTGTCGATGATGTGCTGCGTCGACAGCTGGGCCTGGAGCTGTGGGGTGCCACCCAGGGGCTGCTGGATCTGGGGCTGGAGGAAAGAGGGCAGATTGCCATTGTGGGCACCCGCATCGGGAATGGGGCCCGCGCCAGTGGCGGGCGGTGCCTTGGTCTGGGGCAGTGCGGCGATCAGGGCCAGGGTCTGGGTGGGCCAGAGGCGGCTGCCATGGGAGCCTGCCAGCACTTGGTCCAGGTGCGCGCCTGACAGCCCGGAGGAGAGGGGCATGTAGCAGGGGGACAAGCTGAGCGGCTGGGATGGGGCGGATGTCTCAGGGCTGGGGGAGGTGGCCGCCAGCAGCTGGGGCCTGAAGTGCATGGAAATTGGACTCAGGAGAAGAAGCGCATTGTTCATTGTGGACAGCTGTAACAACACTGCTGGGACTCTTTCTCGCGATGTAAGGATGTCAGAAATCTTTGAGAGGTGCAGGCAAAGTGGTCGACAGATTGGCAAAGTGCCCTGCATCGTCCGACAGGTGATAGGTCTGTGCTCAGTGATGTTCAGATCAACATAATTGATGATGGGAAAGTTAGCAACAGTGTTCACAACAAACCTGTATTCGTTGGGCCTGGCAGGCTCTACGACCACACCCCTAAGGTTGACCCGCTGCTGGTCCTCGTAAATGCTGCCCAAGTCAACGCCTGCCTGCTGATCGCCCAGGGGCCTTGGGGAGGGCATAGCGACTGACAGCTGCTGCTTCATGCCTGTCAAGGGATGGGCATGGGGAGGTGGATCGATGGAAGCAGACCCCATTTCCAGTTTCATGGCGGTCGTCCTTGCGGGGTTCTCCCCAAAGGGTGGGTCTTGGCTGGAAAGGGCTTCCAGATCTGTGCTGTCCCTTTGGGGCTCCTCTGAGTCGTTGGTGGCGCGCTCAGGGGGGTAGAACGACAGTTGGGGGATGAAGTAGGCACATTTGTTGGCGTTGGGCAGCTCCTGGGTGCAACAAAAAAGTCTGCAGAATTAGCAGCGGGAAGGCATCAAGAAACCCACAAGTCCGCGGCCCTCTGGCAGCATCCAGTGAGGTACGTCATTCTCGTTCTTGGGCAATCAACATCAAGCCTCTGTCTTCACTTTGTGTGCAATCGAATGGGGTTCATGTTACCCTCGAATGGAACGTTAGAATTAATGCTTGGATGCACTTGTGGGCATGGCCCACAGAGGTGCAAGGGTTTTGATTCGTAAAGTGCTTTTCTCAACTGCAACAAACACAATTCCACATCATGCAACACTGCAACATCACAGCATCTACACTGCTTCCATTTGTTCGTAACACTTGAAAGCAATGCAGGTAACTTACAAGCATGTGGGCAACAAATTGGCGATGTAGTCCTTTTGTTGAAAATTACAGTCTACATTATAGTTAGTCCTAACCCCAAGACCGTTTAAATACCAAAGTCTACAGTTCAGCAAAGAAACACCTGCATTGACATACTGTCTGTCACATAGGTCACATAAGTCAGCGTGTGGCAACAAATGACAATGAGCAGCTGCACCCATTGCATCGAGTTGTGTGTCAGATGTGGCACAAATGGGTGTGATTCTGCTCTACCTGAATGAGCCTGCTGATGACAGGATGAGACAGTCCGAACATATCTGTCCCACTAATGGTGACCTTCTCCTTTTTGATGCCCCTCACTTCATTCACCAGTGTAAAGAGCTCAACCCATGAGCCCGATGGCGTGTCGTTGCGAATGTCCAGCTCTGGGTCGTCATCGGCTGTGATCTGCACACGGCGCCATCAATATTCTTATCCAGAAACCGAAACAGCAAGTCAGTGTTTTGCAACCAGAAAACCCTTCCCTGGCTACTGTTGTGGGAATCTGCATTAGTCATGCCGTTTATCGTGATATGTACAAGTCAAGAACGTCTGCCGCCTTGAGCTGTTCTACCACTGATGCTCCCTGAATCCGACAAGCAAACTTGTTGCATTCACCAGCAATGCTCAGTATGCAATGTTATCAACTGTGTTCAAGAGCACCAATGCTTCTGATGTGATAAATGATAGCCCCGGTGTGCCAAAGCGAATCAACAACATCGCTGCACGTTGTTTTGAAGTTGTGCATGCAGCAGGCAGATAAACAGACTGCACACTTGTCAACAGACACTCTTTGCTGTTGCCATGCTGGATGCATACAAGCGTAGCTTCAAACAACACACACTCAGACACCAAAGGCAAATGAACCGATCTATGGACAACTGAGTGACCCCGCCAATAATCAACATGTGAGAGTTAAATGTTAACCATTTCAACGTTAAAAAAGTCAATGCTGCTCCTATCATATCATTTCAACAGCACGACCCATTTCAAATGTAACAGATGACTGCACTTGTCAAATGACGAAGGAAAGCCCGCATCGAAACATTGATGGAAATGGGCTCCAAAACAGGGTTACGATCACACAATCTGGTATCCATTGGGAAATGATACACAATTTTCACCAATTCAACACTGTTAAACAGACATCGAAATGGCCTGAGGCAGGGGAAAGCGTAATGGATTGGCTTGCAGGGGTACTAAATAACACAAATTAGCATTAGTAGAGTACAAGAGCTCAGGAGGAGCAAAATGTTCCAAGAATGGCAGAAAACATGCAGTCTTTGCAATCTCTGCAGTATCAGCAACCTCTTTTTGGGTGAGATTGACACTGTGAAACAACATTGGTGACATTCAGTGGCCCAGTTCATGCCCGGCGTCGCCAGATGCAAGTGCCAGCTTTCTACAATCACCACAATCCCATCATCACACCTGAAACAGGGGCCTCAATCCACCGTCCATGATTTTGCACGTGTAGCTTGTGGTACCCCCCGGGTCCACAGTGCTTGCGTACGTGCGCCGTGTCTCGAAGCCAATGGGGTAGATGTGCCGCTCACTGTGGAAGGCCACCCGAACGTGCTCGATCCGTCCCAGCTCCACCAAAGTTAGCATGCTTGTCAGAGACAGGGGCAAAATGGGTCGCCCTGAATCGTCCCGATCCACCTGCAGATGGACGAGTCACGAGTGGCCCATTCAGCTCATCCGTGTATTCAAGGGGACAGTGCAAGGGGAAGGCACAAAGATGTTGATGAAGCACAATTGTGCATCATAAGTAAACATGACAAGTTGCAAATACGCATTGTTAATCGTGACAATGTGACAAATGACTGTACCGTGACCCCTGCTGTCCTGTCAGGTTGGTGTCAAAGCCAATGGGTCGACCAGTGCAATTGCTGGCCGACTGTGCTGTAGTCAAAATATCATGAAGCTGTTGGTACAGAGTTGAAGACAATCTGAGTTGAGAGTTTGCGACATATTTATGCCCATCCAAAACAAGACATGTGAAGTGTTTGGGTGCTCCATTTGTCACACACATTGATTCAGATGAAGGGGGCGGCATGTTGCCTTTGAGAAATGAGCAAAATTGTTTAGAATTGGACACCTTCACAGGGGACCACGATTGAACTTGGACACATCATCTCACAAGGCACCATCCTGGGCTCACCCGACCGTTATCCAACAGTGCACTCACTGTCAAGTACCAGGCAAATGAACTGCAGTTTGCGTTACTTTGGTGCCAGAAAATGGAGCATGCTCTACCTTGATGTTCTTTGTGTACTTGAACTTCTTTGGTCGTGGCAGTCCAAGTTGTTTGGCTTCCTTGAGTTTCAGCACATTTTGTGCAACGTGGTCCACCAATTTAGGGCTGGAGAGGTGCTCGCTGGGGGACTTGGAAGCAGCAGGGGCACCATCCAGCGGCTGCAGGCAACCAGTGCACACAAGTTACCAACTGAACAAGGACAAGTCTTCTCCTCTTAGATCCTTTCAATCCTGCTCCATGCACTCAATTGGGTATCAACACATGCTGCTGTTTGTCTAAGCTTGCTGTATACATATCTATGCACGGGATTCTTTCACTGTCCTTTGGCTATTGTTTGGCCAGGAGACGAGTGCTTCATCAATTGAAGCAGTTCAGATCGCCCAGCAGTTGAGAATGTGTCAGGCGTTGTCACTGGAATTAAAATCAATGCAGGACAAACTGGAAGCACAGGGGTGCATGACAAAACAGTAAAAATATGGTAATTCAAGACCACAAGAATGGGAAAATGGATAGAAAAGACAGCAAAGGAACAGAATGATATGTGCTCTTCTTGAGGTACAAATTGAACGCAAATAACATGCCATACATCTCAAGTATCACAAAGCAGGGAAAAGACAGCATGAAAGAACCTCAGAGCCTGAATCAGAGCATGGAATGGTGGTAGCACACACTCACAATAACAACAGGTGGCTACGGACCCTGCGAATCTCAACACATGAAATAGGGATGGCCTCTGCAGATGCAAACATGCGCAGATTTTACAGGCTCAGAGAATCATATCTATCGGACTGCACCATTACAGATTCACACCCTTGTCCAACCACATAACTGCATCCATCTGCTCTGCAGCAAAATGAAGAAAAACTGGGGAAGCCAACGAAAATTGTGGAGTGCAATTTGCACATCTGATGCTGACATATTACCTGTGAAAAGGAAGGTAGTACACAAAAGCCTACTTCCCATCATCTGGAGGCAAGCAACACCCAACGCAAAGATGGTGCCAACACAGGACAAGCTACTTGGAGATTCTACGGTATTGCAATGGTATACATGGGAATTCAAAAACAGCACCGCACGATTTCACTGGCGGAAACACTATGCACAACTTTCAGCAACTCACCAAACAATGCAGACTTGAAGCTAATTCAGCACTTTTCAATATGGACAGCTTCTGTGTGAGACCAGTAAGAAAAGATTGCCAGTGAGTGTCCACCTGTGACCCAGTGTCCTTGGTGCCTTTCCGCCCTGAGCTCCTCTTCAACAGGCGTTTCAGCAGAGTCGTGATCTGCTTGAGACGTTTCATAAGCACCTTGCCATCTGGCAGAATGCCCTCCCCACTCCCTTGGCAGGGATCCAGCCCTGCCTGGGCAGCCATCCTGGCAATGGAAAGCATGGCAACAAACAGGCTATGAACAAACAGGTCAATACACAAGCAACTGAATATATAATGATAAACTGCAGATCATGAATACATGCACAATGGATAAATAAGCAATGAGTAATTACGTGCTGTTGATGGTACGAATAAACATTGAAACAACAGGCTCAAGGCCATAGCAACAGACCCAGTCAGGCCCCCAAAAGCACAACAAGCATTTACTGCAACTCTATCCCATCTAAGCAGCCTAACCAACAATCAGTAGTGCCCACCAATCTAATACCTGAGCACCATAAGCAGCAACACGTTTGCCCAGCCCTTGGCCCAATGCTAAAACACGACCAAAAGACACACTTTTCAGCACCACTCCTTTGCCAAAAAGGGCACATCATGGACGCCCAGGTTTCACATTGTTGCTGAAGAAATCAAAACTCATGCAAAGGGGAACGTGAGATGCCTGGGGAGTCCACCTGTTGGCCTCGTCAGTGGCGTCTTTCCCTGGGTCAATGACCAGCTTCTGACCCGTGCTTCCATAGATCTTGGCACTTGCATTGAATGGGAGGGAGCGATCCCTCTCAATCTGCAGCCAGGAGCCCATGCCATGCCGCAAGACACCACGCACCAGATTGTGGTCGTGAAGGCCCGCGATCCACCTACAGAATATCAAATTCATCGACCATTGCCAATGCCATCCACCCTTCTTTTAAGCAGCACTGGGGGAAACCTGGGTACAGGTTGAGTTTCACTAGCACACTAGCAGCAGCATAGAATACAACAGTAGTCTTGGCTGGTGCTTGGTAAAGGCTAAGTACCAGGCCTTGTGTCCAATTCGGTCGAAACACTGTCTGAATGCTGCTGGTGTGTGCTGCACATTAATTTTGTGCCTGGCAGTGACAGCCGGCAAGCATCCTTGGTCGCTGGGCAGCCTGTTGGGTTGAACACATCTGTGCCAATATGTCACAGTATGGTGAGGGGTCTTGTACACACTTCGGCACAGCAGGGGTGCCCTAGTCCACGCCATGCCATCTTCTTCTGCCAAAATGAATTACCAGTAACAACAAGCAATGTCCTTGGGGCAATCCACCAAAAGCATGTTCTGGTATGCTTCGACTGCTTACAACCCCATCTGTCGGTGAGTGTTCATGAAAGCTGCAGCATCCCGTGGCCCCAATCTATCAAGAGTGCAGTGCCCTGAGTCCCGTTTTCATATCTGTTGCTTTACTTACGGCTCTCATCCTTCTCCTATAATTTTCTTGGACTGTCTGTGTGTGACACAAGCTGGGGTTGGGGCTCACACGTGCAGCGCATTGCTGTTTTTGGCATCGCTGACATGCCGAAAATGCGAGGCATGATTTGCATTGGACATGTTGCTTCATGGGGAAGGTAAGGAACATGAGCTCAGGTCAAATCAGGCGTCTACCTTTGAATAAAATTGGCAAAGCTGACAGAAAGATGGCCATTGCACCTTCAAGGCAATGGCACCTACAACGTCCTCCACAAAGCCTCAATGATGACATCTCCTTTCATTCCCAAAGTGCGACATGTCTCCCTTCTTTGGCAAGGAATCGACAAAGCTCTATGCTTCGCCCTACAAGGAGAGTGACGACTCTTGCCTGCTGTGATGATGAAGAAAAATAGCACCTTACTTTTGTCAAAGACTGTGCAGGAGATTTGCAGGAGATTTGCACAATGGCAAACAGTTGTTTGGGAAAAAGGGAACAGCAAGGATCTGACTCAGGCCACACTGTCCATCCAAGGTTGGGACGTATCCTGCAACACGTCTGAGAAGTACTCCTTGGAGTGACATCTGTGGGTGCCTGCTCCCTGCACTTGCGGGAAGGTTGCATGCCCGCACGACGTGACACCTACACTTGCCAGGGCATGGTCAGGCACTGCCCTTGCATCTAATTCAGTCGAAAATGCTTGTTTGAGAATGTATGCTCAATTCATGCAAGCATTCCCACCAGCTGGGCATGTCCTGAGTCTTGCTGGCCAGCGACCTGGTGAGGGTGTGGTCATTCAGCAGCATCAGGCCCCTTCGCAGCACCTGCAGCATGTCCAGCCGCTCCTTCAGCCGGGCGGCCGTCTGGGGGGTCAGTACGCGGAGCATCGCTGGTATGTGCCTGGGCAGCACATCGACCAGTCAGCAGGCTGTCACTGTGGCTTGAAACTCCATTTGTTAAATCTGCCTTCAAAAGACAGAGCACTTTGCTGTGGTGGCTGCATTTGCAGGGCGTCGACAGCACTGTTTTGAGCCATTCCAGACATGTGTAACGATTTTTACTCACAGCATAACTTGTTGCACGCTCACCTTGCCTTCCTGTCCTCCACAATGTCTGAGCTTGGCTCGTCTGCATCGCCGGCTCCATCATCGTCAGGATCTCCTGACAATATGCACACACATGAGTGACATGAGTCAACTGAACACCACACAGTACAATTTTTAGATCAACTCAATAGTGCTATCTTATGCTGCGTAGCTCTTGTACGATTGGTTTGTATCATTAATGCATTTGTATTTGCATTTGTATCAAATTTCTATGGCATAGATTTGTTTGGCCGGACCCACTGCTTTAGCTTGGCTTTTTCTGCCAGTACCCACAGCGCTGAAAAGCAGGAAACTGGCCAACACATTTCCTGCTACTGGGTTGGCTGGGGTGCTCCATTGTATGGTGCATTGTCCAGACTCTACAGGAGAACTCAACATACGCTTGACTCTCCACAAGCTTTCTCCAGCCGTATTTCCCACCTGGAGACACAAGGACGATGTTCTGTCACATTGGGAAAGAACAGACCATCTTTTGTATCCCGCTGCTGTACTAGCACAAGCCTGTGGAGTTTAGGTTAGGAAAGCCCATATCAGCTATGGAGGGAAGCTGCCTGCATGCTGCATGAGAGGCAAGGAATATATTTCGTCATATTTTGGCGACTGTACTCCAGTGGATTGTCTCTCTTGTCCTATTGCTCCATTGCTAACTGGAACAGCATGAACTTTCGGTCAGAAGAGCTCATGTCACCTGCTGAGCCGGGATCCCCAAGGAGCGCAGCACCATCTGTGCTGTCCTCCATCGCCCCAGTCACTCCATCCTCTTCTTCTGACTTGGGCACAGTCGAGCTTCTTCCCACCAGCTTCTGTACATCCCAACAGAAAATAGAATGAAGATAAAAATCAAGGAAAACAACACAATAAGCCAGAAACTGTGATATGCAGAATTGACCAAAAACAACAAATGATGTCTGCTGCGGCACATGAGAAATGAACTCAGCTGGCATTTGCAAACAAACGAAATCAACATCAAGTACTGCATGCAACCTAACTAAGAATAAGCACACCAAAACTAGCCTTGCTTCAGTCCTGCCCTTGTACAATAACTGCCAAAAGGGATGTTGGATACAGAATCGGAGCTGCGTGGTGAACACTTTCCCAAAGTTTAACTAAAGCAGTCGGGAATACATGGTGCAGCATATAGCATGCTGTATTATTCACCATGTGCCCTGCTTTCACATGCACAATAAACCCATACACTTGCATTCATGTAACATGTCATCTTTGACTGTATTCATCGTTTTAATGCGCTGCACTACCTCGTGCATGCTCTTCCTTGTCATTGCAGGCAATGTGCATCTGTTTCAGCAGTCAAGCATATTGTAGACAAGAAACAGCAAACCAGGCACCAACACACATCTGCACAACAACAGACCAGCACAGAAACAACGAAGCGCATCCTCACCATAATGGTTTCGAAAACACATCGTTGACTAACAGAATAAGTAGACGATCTAAGCAGACAGGCGCTTGCCTAATGCCTGCTCTTCCTCTCATCGTCACAGGCAACCCACATTTGGCTCCAACAGTGACGCACATTGAACAAGGAAGAAAAGGTAAGCACAGCTACAGCAAATGTCCATGTGAACACAAAAATACACAAATCACTGCTAAATTTGCCATCAAAACTGTTCGAGGCTTGAACCATAATGGCTTGAACTTCAAGCCATTATAACGACAGATTGCAGGTGTCGTAGACTATCTTAGAGGACAGGCGCTCACCCTTTGCCTGCTTTTCCTCCTGTTGTTGCACACCACGCACTGGCAGTTCTCGCTGTGCACTGCCTTGCGCGTCAGGCCGCCCGCCTCCTCCAACACGCTGCCTGCCTCATCCAGCAACTCATTGCAGATATCGCGGATGCAGTCAGGCCCCTGGGCCCCAGGGAGGCCGCACTGGCGGCCCAGGAACTCCCACGTGATGCCGGCACCCTGCATGGTGCAGGAGGCCACATGAGTACACCAGTACTATAGCTGGGTGAGAACCACTGGAAGTATTACCATCACACTGCCTAAGTATTCTGTTCTAATAGCGATTCCAAGCATTACTACATTTGCACTGATGTGTCTTGCATGGAAGCGTTGCATCCCATGTACCAAGCATTCTGTTTGATTGCATGATTCGATTGATCGACAATAAAACTAGATTGATCGATGGGATGACTGGACTGATTCTCCAAGGCACCACAACAGGTTCATTATTGGATTTGCAAGGCAAGGTTGGTTACAATGCCAACCTCACAGCAGAGGACCATGCAGCTGCATCCATTCATGAAATGTGGACAAGGCATTTGCTGTCTGAGAACAAGGGCTTCTTGTGAGCTTGTTCCGTTATCTTCACCTAAATGCAACAGCCGTCGTCAGTGGGCAGGTACCACAACATAATCTCCTTTCTCTTCAATGCCTTCAGTTTATGTTCATATGGCTCTGGACACGATGGGCCAGTCTGAAATAAGCAGTCCATAGAATATTCCAGTATGGCTTGTGCTACCTTACTGAGAAAATATCCTGGTTTGGACTGTGATGAAATACATGCATGCATCTCTGGCAAACCACTACGACAATCATGCAATTGTCTGAATAAGGGAACGCCAGCTAAGGCTGCGTTACTTGATCTTTATTGCAAATTTGCAATATCATTTCATTTGCTTGCTTGGTCCTTGTTGCAAACTTTTTAAAACATAATTACAATTGCTAAGAAAGCGCTAGTTGACTTCAACAACACATTGAGCCATCCTTGACCTTGTGTTTGTGCTAAGTGTTATTACCACTAAAATAGGTTGACACCTCTTACTAACAACTACCACATCTGCTGGCACACTTACCTCTTCGGCTGTCTTCTCCTCTTCAGAACTATGGTCACACAGCTCCCCATTGGGTGATCCCCCATCAACGGGATCTGGAAGCCCAAAGGCCATTAGCGTCTTCAACATGTCGGTCTTCTCCTTGCGACTCCACACACCCGTCGTGGACGAATCCTCAACCTGCCATGTGGTGCAACCCACAAGCAAAAATTCGCATCAGGTTCACATTAGGTTTAGCTGTACTGCCATTCCGCCTTAATAACTCATGCGCCTTGCTTCTCCAATGTGGAAAATAGGTCATCATGGCCAGCCTCAGCTGTTTCAAGATAAGCAAACCCAGGCTAAAAAGCCAATTCCCTCAGTGTCCCACTCCAGCTTTGCAAGTACTTAGTATTCTCAGTTTTGAAGAATAAAGCCCAGTTTTGGAGAGTAAAGCCTAGGAGGCAGCATTGTGTGCACGGATGCCCTTGGCCACGAACATTCTCCTACAAAGGTGAGACCTGCCTCGCATAGCACACAACCATGCGGTGAGCACTGGCTCACAACTATTTTACACCCATATAATTGCAAAATTCCCAACAATTCCGCTTAGTTCAAATGCACACGGCAGCTGTGGGCTCCTCTGCCAGTGCAAGGTTCAGAGCACCCTGCCTTGTCTCTGTTGCTCTTGATGGCAGCATCATCCTTTTGCTGCTGCTGCGCCTTGATGAGGTTCTCTGTGACGCGCTTGAGACGTTTGGTCAGGATATCTGTAGCCGGCCACTGCACAGGCGCCTGCTTTGGCTGCCAATTCTCTCCCTTCTCCTCTGCCACAGAGCGCAACAGCCTCAAGGCCATGGATGCAACAGCACAATGCACTGCAGCAAAGCAGTTTGTATGCACCAAATGATGTACCACACCCTTGCAGAATGGGGCATGCACAGCAGGAGAGCTTTTTTGGTTGCCAAGCTGCCTTTTACCTTGCAACAGCATATGTTGGAAAACAAACATGGTGATCTGGAGCAAAAACAGAGGCTCATTGGACAAACAAGTCAATCCTCAGTAGCACACATGCTTTGTATTCTCCAGCGAAATGTAGGACAAAGGACAAGGGCATTCCACCCCCTTGTGGCGCCTGCGCCACACAGAGATGATGTTCTGAGCACCTGGTGGTGTGTAGTAGCTCCCCTCTGGGTCCGCGTCCTGGCCCTCAGGTGGATCTGGAAGGTATGCCTGTCAGCAAGGAACCCGTTTGTGGTTGCTTCAATCAGCCTTCACAGCCCAAAACGTTTAACAGGGCAACAGCAGTCACACATCCCAAATTGAAGCACATCCAAGCCCAGTCCTAATGCGTCTTCAAGCCTTGCATTGACTGTGGATTTTGCAACCTTGTGCGGCAATGGCAAGCGGCCAAGTGGTGCAGCAGACGATGATGGCTGTGACTGAACTGAACACAGTTACAATCAAAATGGGTACAACGCCAGACTGCATACTTCCTCAGCACTACACAGTACAACATTAAGTTCACCCACAGCAGGAAAGGCCATTTCTGGAGTTGGTCACTGCGCTTTGGTATCCTGTTTCAAGGCCTGCATATGCAACCCAAGGCCAGGGGCTTGCATGCTCCAAATAGCCAATCTGAAGCAAAAGTTCTGGAGCAAGGAATGCACCAGACTGTTCTGCTCGTGTCCTCAGATTTCTTCCTTGCTAGGGCACTTCCTGCCTTGTTTTGAGATATGCTGGCAGCAACATGCTGGCACTACAACAGTGTGACATGTGATATGTGTCATCATGCACAGCTAAATGTATGCAAACACTCGCAAACACTGCAAACAAGAAGCAACAAGTGCAGCCACGTGCTCCTCACAACCAAGGCATACAGAACAAGGGAGCAGGTGCCACCTGGGCACAGCCTGCACAAGCACCAGTTGGCTTCCCTTGGCACCAGTTCCGCACGCTTACCCCCAAGCTGTTTTTCCTTACCCCCCAAAAGGCCACCGCAAACTGGGGATCTGTGCGCACAGCCTCGTAGTTCCCGTATCCGTGCTTGTGCACTCCAGCTATCAGTGCCAGGTCCGCACTGGCACTCCACCAGGGGGCGGGGAGGTTCGTGTCCGACATCCCTTTCAGTGAGCGTTCAAAGAACCTCCTCATCTGGAGGAGGCCAAGAAAGCTCAGCATGCAGCAGGGACAACATGCAGCGGGGACTGCAGTGCTGCAATCCCGTTGACAGCCCGCTCGCCAACTGCAGCGTGTGTGCTGGGGCATTGGGACTGGAGTCTCAGCACTGAGCACTTTGGCTCAGGCATGATGCACTTGAAGTTTGAAATTACTTTTACTTGCAAACAAGCATTGGCAACCTTGCATTGGAGTTTTGCACAGGAAACTCATCAGGGGCGTCACCTGCAAATTTTCAGGCAAATGTGCACATGGTGGTGCACAATACACATGCAAGGAGAGGTGAATTCGCCAGTGGCTCAACACAGTCACCCCTGCAACCAAAGAGGAATGCAAGAAATCCCACTAGTCTGGCGACTAGGCTAAGCCCAGCTCATGTAACCTTTGACTGGTGGTGTGTCAACCAATCCTCAGTACTGAGATTCCTATCAACCAATTTGCAGGGTGCCCACCTCATCATCCGCAAGCTGCTCAGCAATGAGCGTGATGTTGTCCAGAAGCTGCAGCCGTCTGGTCCAGATTTTTGCCGAGCTCTGCACCTGCACAACAACCCCGACAATCCCTTCACGTACATAGAACTGCCCAGAACACCGCAGCACTGTGATAATGGAATGTATGCATTGTATGTATGCATGGAATTGCATGCATTGTATTGGATTGTATTGGAATGTATGCATTTTATGTATGCATGGAATGTATGCATTGTATGTATGCAGCATTATGATAATGGAATGTATCCATTACAGGCAAGTTGCGAAAAGGGCACTCTCGCCATGCATCTGTCTCTGCCAAACCTGCTCACCAGTTGGACCTTTCTGCCCTGCCACAACAAATTTTAGCACTTTCAACCTTTCTGCTTTGCCGACATGACCACTCCCTTATGCACCATGTGCATCGCCCCTGCACACACCTTCGTCCATGGCACGCCAGGGGTGGTGATGGGCAGCTGCCTCTTGACGCTCTCCAGCTGCAGCCTAATGTACTCAGCCTCCTTTCCGTCCACGTGGTGAAGCAGCTCTGACACAAACTCCCAGCATGCGTCCTCCATGTCACCCCCGCCATGTCTCACGGACTTCTGCCCAGCATGCATCGTCGCATCGATCTGCCATCGCATCCCACTCCCTTTTTTGGCATTAGGCGCATCCTTTGCATTTCTCAGAAGGACATGGCAAGAAAGGCACTTAGGTGTCCCAGGCGATTAAGGACACAGGAACTTCTGATCCATCCAAACAACAATACATTCATAAATATTTACTTCAAGATGTGTACACACAGATATATGTGAGAAACAAGTTCACAAATCAGCTTTACATTTGGAGCCATATTCAAGCGACATTGTGAACTTCTTGCATACCACTGCCATTGAGATGTGGTCTGAGGAGTTAGGATGGGGAGAGGCTACCACAGTGGTCTTATCCAAAACCTTTTTGGAAGGCAGCAAACAGTACATGTCTCTTCAATGAGGACGCGTGGGAGCCAATCCATCAAATGACATTGAATATGAATGTCTATCAATATCCAATGCATACGATTCAAGATACATATAAGACACAAACAACAAATGGGCACATTGGTACTTAGCTACCTCTGCTGCAGTGAAATGCAGTGGATCTGGTGTGCATAATCTACTTTGCTCAGCGATTGAACACAATGTTGATGCAGCTCACAGGAGTACTGGTAAATACCACTGCTCCTGCTGCACATGCAGTGGCAGGAAGGCCTACTGAAGGGGCTTTCGCACCTCCCTCCATCGCCCAAAGCCAAACGACAGGAAGCTCTTTTTGAGTGCCTCCCTTTCCGCCTGCTTCCAGGGCACGTGGCGCCGCTGCAACCACACCAAACAGCAGATTCAGATTCCCATGAAAACTGCCAGACACGGGTGCACACCTTACTTTTCCTCAGTTTACCCATTACAATACTGGATCCTATGTACTCTAGTTTCAGTCAATTGCTCCAGCCTTCCTCTATTTCAACCACTTCATTAAATTTCGTGTGCATTCCTTAGGTATTCAATTCCAAGCAGCACACATCCAAATGCTTTGCGACCACAGTTGGTATCACACGGATTAATGCTGCCAAAGTGTGTTTTGCAGGCAATGGCGGGAGTATTTCTGTTTGCACAACTGGCCTCCACACTGTCGACAAGCGGCATGAACACCAGGCTCATGATATCAGTCATGTAGCAGTGTCTGACCACACAGGTTGCGAGCAGATACGATAAACAGATGCTGGACATATAAAGTTTCTTGGGGTGAAAGTTTATTGGATGATGTTTTCTTTGTATGCATGTGTGCCCATCTCTGCTTAAAAGGTCCGGAGGCACTCCTTTGTGCCATGCAAGGCAATCTTAAAGGATAGAAGAATCCGCACTGAGCAGTGGCGCCCTGCTGGAATATAAAAATGGATATGATGGACATCAGCCAGTGAAAAGAGCGAGTGTTGGTCAGGATGCTTATCCAATGCAGAGCGGGTCACACTGCAACCACCCCTTCTGTCAGAAAGATTTCGATTTTGCTATTCTCTGATCTGTGCATTTCCTGTTCCTTATTCCATTCCTTCATTTTGTATGTCCTTTTTCATTTCTTTAGTTGCAGTTGACAAGACTTGATAGACCGTTGCCCTTGCATCCACAGGGTGACTGCGGCCACAATTTTAATTGCTCACTTCACCATCAGCAAGAGTGAGACTACAGCCCTCTGAGATAAGCTTTGGGAATCATTCCCAACCACCACAGATGATCACTCGCCCATTTCAGCACAAGTTGTAAAGTTGTAGCGCATTGCCAAAGCAAGCAGTGGCCAATACGGCCAGCAAGAAACTTCAGTCAAGATATGTTCAGCCAGAGAATGTGTTCATCTCTTATCTTCAGGTGAATCCAAAACACCACCTCACACATAGGAGTCCTGGTGCCCCCCCCCAAAAAAAGACGATATATGGGCCTCATTATCTAATCATGCTCTGTTGCAAATTTGCTGTGCTCTGTTCATTGTCAGGAGACGTCCCCTGACACGCACCTTGTTGGACAAAGACGAGTGCAACATCGTTTCCTCTGGTGCTTGTTCCCCAAGGACGAATGGTTCTGCCCCCGCACACTCACTTATGTCAGGTCACGTCCATGTTTAGGCATGCAAACAATGCATAAGTGCAGGGGAATTGACGTGAGGGGCTTGCCTGGTGAGTCAACTGACAAAAAAAGTTCCCTCAACAACAAAATGATTCAGAGCAAGCTGTCCAACAATCAAAGCGGATCACTGTGTGCACATCAATAATGGGTAACACAATACAGCAATTATAAAAAAGCTGATGAACAGGTTGATCAGAGACTCTACAAGAGAAACGTGATTGCGAGATGCAGCTAGTGCCAAGATCCACATCACATGCACACATCAACATGCGTATGTGTTCTCAATCGCGAACATGAATGCCAACAGCTGAGGCAACTTCCCAGTCAGTGCTTGTTCGACCTATGCAGCCTCATCATATAGTACCCAGCAGCAAAGCCTTGCAGCACATCAAGGCAGAGTTTTTTATAGGACAGAAATCGTGCCAGCAGACAAGCCACTTACGTATGGGAGGCCTTCCCCCTGACTCGAGTTCGCTCCTCCACTTCTCCTGCCGCTCCAGCAGCTGCTTGAACACTTTCTTGCCCTCATACCTGTAATGGAACAGAAAAAGGGCGCTCTATTTACATACAAGAATGTGTGCAAGATGAGGACCCTAGCGAACACCCCTCATACCAGTTACGGAACAGAAAAAGGTCGCTCTATTTACATATGAGAATGTGTGCAAGATGTGGACCCTAGCGAACATCGTGCTTGGCAACAAGGGGATGGATTAAGGGAAACTGGCGAGGTTGACACTCATGCTATGCAGTGTACAGGTTTTGGGGTCGTACAGTACTAGCCTCCTTGGCTGTCTGTTCCCTGCATTTGGACGGGGCATTAGCACAAATGGGGCATTGACCAGAACAGTTACATTTGCCAGTAAAATGATGAACTTACCTCTTCTCTGGTGACATCAGGCAGTGTTCCTAGTGGCCCAGACACAGGTCACAAGGGATGACTTCTGCTGCGATATACTCCAAGTCAAATACACAGCACCATGCCTCCCTTCCAGGCAATGTGCTGTAATTGATTATCATGTCCACCTTGCATGTACACCATGCACACCATACGTGCCATATCACCTTGTTCATGTGCAGCATCCTCACATCTACATTGACAATGTTCGTCGATCTGAGCCAACCACTAACCTCAGGAAAGCAACCAGTGCTGATGGCACAGATGAATCAAATTTGGCACGATTCCTGATACAGATGGAATAAATGTACATTTCACTGGGCACAGTCCACAGTACTAAACATGTATCCATGATGATGGCTCCTTTGGAACAGAAGGTGGAATAGGGATGGGATGAGGGAGAGGGAGAGGGACAGGATCACATTAGAATATTGAAACTGGCGTGCACAGTTTCCATGCACGTCCACCAGTGGGAGGGACCCAGCTCACTTGTAAGACGACACAAGCCTTGCAACAGCCAGCTGCCTCGCTGTGAGTCGCGACAGTGATGGTTCCTGCGAACAATAAACAACAGTGCAGGAGTAATCAAGAAATGCTGTTGAAGAAATGATGTATTGTGAGTTTCCAAAATGTAATGTCTGCAAGGTTGAACTGCACATGCATTTGAAGCCAGAGTTTTCATTTACCACAGACACATAAATACCCACTGATGCAGAGTTTCAACTTTTATTCTTTTTCTTCCGATGTCATTCATATGTGCAGTTGATATACAAAACTGATGATAACTGACTGTGCCAAAATGGAACACTCATTCTCACACAAGAGAAATTTAGCACTCGGGGGGGAGAGGGGGGGCTTCGCTGATCAGATATCACAGCATATGCAGTGCTTCGCTTGTCCTGTTCATCACATTCCCTTTTAATGCGAAATGGACTCCTATCTCCATCCCTTGGTAGAACATCACCATTGCATCCTCAAGCAGGAGGGGATCTCTTGCAGCAGTGCAGTGGGGGGACAGAAAGGAGACTCACTGGGCTGTGTTTTTCAATGTCCCATATAAAGTATGTGCTGCAATCTCACAAGAATGGCAGGAATGCAGTTCACAAAATCAATCAAAATATGCACAATGAGCACATCTATTCCATAAAATACCTGTGCTGTCACCATACAATCGTAGAAGCCCTTCATTCAGAAGAGTACTTTTAGCGTGCAGCAGGCTGCAGTAGCATGTTGTCTAGCCTTCAGATGATTACACATTCGCAGTAGCATGCAGCAGCATGTGACCTGAAGTACTCCAACCCCTGGCAAGTACCACACCTGCCCCGTGCTTTCTCCTCTGCCTGGAATGCCTTCATCACCCTTCACCCTCCTTGCCTTCTTCCTTGCGGGGCCCTCCAACTTTTCCTCCGTCTCGGCGCCTGCAAATTGTGCAGCAACTTACATGCATGCTTTGCTGGCTTGTCATTCAATGCTGGGGTGTTCCTTTCTTCTTTTAGTTCCCCTTTGCGATTTCTCTGGCATCAAACTGTGGACTGCAGCGAGCAGTGCAAAACGAAATATGGCAAGATGCCCAGGCACTTGAGTACCCTGCAAATTGACTTACGATATCTATGCAACACATAAGGGTATATGGCCTCTATTGCCCCCATCCCACACCTACTTTGCACCACCTTTTTCACCTTGAAGGCTCCATTTCTCAACATATGATAAGAATACCCCATCCACATGCAGGGCGATGGCAGGCCCTGCTCCCTCTGAAACTGCTAGTTCCCAGAGTGTTCCAGCACCCCATCATCATCGAACAGCAACATCCCTTAGCCCAAGTCAGCAAGCAACTTTGTACTGTGTGCTTTGGCTGCAAGCGTACTTAGCTCATAGGTATTAAAGGTGGCCTTCAACAGCCCTTGCATCATTGCGTCACGCAACAGGGATATTGTTATGATATGTGGTAGTCTTTGTGCAGTGTTGTTCAAGTTGATCTGCAAATCTGCGAGTGAGTGAAAGAAGTGCCAAACAAAAGGGTCTCAAAAAAATGCCTTTGCAATTCCATGACTATCGATTTGGGTGACTAGCAGTTGGGACAAGACCAGCACCTGGATATCCAAAAATCTCAACCTTGATGCCATACATTGGAATTGAGAAAAGTGCGGGCGTTTGCAACTTGAAAAATGCCCAGAGGAATCCATTCTGACATCCATATTCAGCATGGGATGTACCACATAGTCCAACATCGCCTTGCAAGTCCTACAGCTGTGCATTGCCAGCTTTTCGCAAAATTTTCCAAGAATTTACACACTATCCCTCCCATGCAAGAATTTCAAGTGATAGCGTTTTCCATGCTCTGCAAGACGCAGACGTCTCTGGGGGCAATGGGGAAAGCAACCAGTGGGGAACCGTCGATCAACTTGCATTGGTCCGGTTTCTCACACCCACACTCTTCACGCCTGTGCACAGACCCACCCGGGCATCCCACCCCACGGCATGAATTAATCTTAACCTGCCCTTTGACATCGGATCATCGGCGTGTTCTCGGCGGTTCGAGCCAATAGTGGAGGAGAGGATTGCCGACAAGAAGAAAAAATGGATGCCGGCGTCTCCGAACCGCCGCCGAACGCAGCAGGGCTGTGGACGCGTCTGCGCATTTTCGAGCCTCTGAACCACCGAGTTCTATCGGGCCCGCCGTCCTGGCCCACTTGACGCACTTTGGCGCGCCAGGAGCCGTCAGCTGCGAGCAGACCCGCTCAAGGCCCCCAAACCAACAACCAAAAGACGCCAAGCCCAGCGAGGGACACAGCGTCCGGCTGCGAAGCCGAATCGCGCCAATACCTGCATCGTGCGCCATGCTGCGATCCGCCCGAGCGGCCGGAGGTCGCGCCGCAGCCGTCGGGCCGTCCCCGCTCCCTCAGGTGTCCTGCGCAATCAGGAGGTCAAAAATTCAAACCGCCGCGGCACATCGGCGCGGCGTTGATGGCGCCGATCGCGGCGCAAATTTTGGCGGCGCACGGCCTTCGTGGCCCACGCTGAGCTGCAAGTTCAGCTGCACTTGCGCGCTCTGTCAAGCGTTGCACTCAAGAGTTGCACGTTCTGGGGAAGTTGCCGCGAGAGGGACTCTTGCCCGTGCAGTGGCGCCTCCGTGGGCGCGCAAGTGGCATTCAGGCGAGCAGCAGCCCGGCGCATGGCACGCCCGATCGCAGAGGAGCGGGCGCCCGGCGACCCTGAAGCGCAGCAGCGCCGGGGCCTGTACCGCGACCAGGAGTCCAGGACAAGCGGCTGCGGGCGGGTGTGGCAAGCATGCAGGGCAACCGATCGGCGAGAGGTGCATGGATCAGCGATTGCCAATCAAGGCGCCGATCGAGGCCACGCGGCCGTCGAGTCGAGCGCGTGGCCCGCACGGGCGCCCGGGGGGGCCCAGTGGGGCCCGAAGGCTGCCGGAGGCACTGACGCGAGTGCGAGGAAATGGGAGCCAGCGGATGGGCGCGTCCAGCCCAGTGAATCCGGAAAAGTCCCCCGACGTGGCCCGCCGCATCAAAGCGCACCGGAAGGGGATCGCCGACGGCGGCTTGCTTCGCACTGGGAGCGTCTGGTTCCAAATCGCTCCTGGACGGAAGGTTTGGAGGGAAGGGCGCCCACCTGGGGGATCAGCGGAGGCGGATGCCGCGCCTGGCGGCCTCGGCCATCTGGGGCGGGGCCTGGGGACGTCCGCCCCGCCGTCTCGCAGAGCAGGCCGCTCGGCTGGCCGCGGCCGTCCGGGGGGAGCCAGCGCGGGGCTGTGCTGGTGCACGTGGATCGTTTTGGGGGGTTGGGTTTTTTCACCACCTTGTGAGTTGCCTTTTTAGTGCAAGTTCTAACGCCCTTTCGTGCCCATTTCCTCGCTGGTTGCCAATGTCCTTGTCCGAGGGGCTTCCGACCAGCACCAAGGTTTTCTTTGCTCGAATCGCTGTTTTCTTCCCACTTTCTTCTCGTTCTGGTGCAGTTGGTGCGCCCCAGCACCCCAGACTCTGCTGCACTTAGCCGGTCGTTTTGCGACAACGTTGTTGCAAGCGCCGTCGTGAATGACGACAGTAAAAATCATGGTGATGATGAATGACGACAGTTTCGGCAAATGACTGCAGCGTTGCACAGCGTAACGCGCGTTGTTGCCGCACAACACGGTCAGTACAAACGACACCCACTGTGGCACGGGAAACGTCATTTAGTCGCTGCCTTTCAACGTCAGCATGGAGGCCCCGGCTCCGGTCCGGAGCCGGGGCCGCGCCGGACCCGCCTCGCTCGCCCCTAGCTAGGGGCGGGCCGCGCCGCCCTTGCGCCCCCCTGCGAAAACGGCGAAGTCGTGGAAGGGGGCACTGGCGCCTCCCCTCCGCAGTTCCGCTTGGCACAGGGGGCGAACGTCAATAGTGGACTGCGGCCTCCACGGGGCTCCAAAAGTGGCCACGAAACACGCCACAAAACGGCGGGAGTGGGAGGCCGAATGTTGCCTCCCACTCCCGCCATTCTTGCCCCTCGCTGCTACCGATTGGCGTCATCCGCGGGTGGCAATCGGGCCATCCGCAGCTGGCACCATTCGGCACCCATAAAGAGCCCAAGCGGGAAGCACGCTTTGCCGCGCATACAGCGAGTTCCGCCGCGGATCTTGCACCTCCCCCGGCCTCCCGGGCAGGCCCCGCTGCCCCGGCCCTTTCGTGGACACACCATCCGCCCGTCGCGAATCAACCAGCTCACGGAAACGGACGCACACCGGAGCCTCCGTCCGCGAGTACCGGAAAGGGCTGAGGCGGCGTCGCGTGCTGCGCTCCAGTGCTCGCGCTCCATGCCGGGGCCTGTGCTTGAAATCGTGCATGGTGCGCCTGGAGGCTAACCCCCACGGGAGGCGGCTTGCAACGCCGATGGCGCCCGCCGGTCCAGCCGCGACGACGGCCACGGGTGCCGAGGCGCGGAACTGCGGAGGGGAGGCGCCAGTGCCCCCTCGTGACAGCCCCCGCCGTGACGACTTCGCCATTTTCGCGGGGGGGCCGCACGGGGGGCGCGGCTCGCCCCTAGCTAGGGGCGAGCGGGGCCGGCCCGGCCCTGCCCGGCCCCGGTCCGGGGCCTCCATGCTGACGTTGGAAGGCAGCGACTACATAACGTTTCCCGTGTGGTAGCCACCGCTCGCAGGCTCGGCGCTTGCCAGAACGTCTCGGGATTGCATCGGCATTCTTCGACGTCCACCCGACGGCGGAGCGCAAACGGAGGCAAGGCAAGCTCGCGGAGCACCGCCACTCCCCACCGCTCCGCTGGACGCATCGATTTTCCCATTTGGGGACCCGCCTCCGTGGCATCACGCCCCCAATTCCGTTTCCAAACCCCTTCCGCTGCGCCCGGAATCGACGGCCTTATCGGCCTGCTCGCGGCGCGCTCCGGCCCCAACCTTTCAACATGCCGCCATTCCCCAACGCCGGCCCCCAGTCGCCCCCACCGGCGGTTCAAGCCCCCCAGCTGACGGCAACCCCCGCACTGAATCTGCCGCATCGTGCTTAAGGGGATGGACCCTTCCACCCTCCCCCTTGCCCTCGGGCAGGTGGTTTGGCAGAGCAGTGGGAATCCCATCGGACGCACCCCAGTTCAATCACCCCAAGAGCCTCGCGTACACTTGCTTAAGAGGGACTGCCCACGTATGACCTGTACCTTTCTCTCTTTGCAACAAATCTTACCCAGTTCGATCCCCGGTCAGACATCCCCTTTACCATCCGCACTTTTTCGATGCCCTCAGAACCTCACAGGCACCCGGCGCCACACCCGGCCCCCCTGGCATGCTCCCAGTTTTGGCCTCCCTTCCCCTCCCTCCTGGCGGATAGCCCTCCCCGGCAGGCAGCAACGCGGAAATGGGATCTCTCATTGATTGCCAGCCCGATGATCGGCCAAGCGGGGCGAGGGGGCCGATCCCCGTGGGGCTCAGGGGCGGCGAAGTGGTCACGGAGATGGGGCTGTGCATCCTGGGCGACGTCTGCGCACAAGCCTGCGTCAATGAGGCGGCGTCGGCGGGCGGAGCGCTGGTGGTGGGCTTCGAAGCGGCGGAGGGCCCTACGGCATGCGCGGACTTCTTGGTGGGAAAGGTGAGGCCGCGCAGGCAAGCTACCGCCGGCGTGGGTTGGATGTGCGGTTGGCCGGTCGAGGAATGGCGCATGGGGTGTGTGTGGCGAGGGAGTGGGCTTCAGAGCTTTGTTGCTTTCCTGGGGAGAGCGGTATCTGTGATTCATCCTTTTGAGGGGGCAGGCCACGTTGAGGTTCAAGTCGTTCGTTGGCTGCGCAGTGAATGGCATCCGCCGCAGCGTCTCAGATCCTGGATGAAAATTCGTCCCCCTTCCCGTCTGCGCTCCGTACTTTCGCGCCTGACAGAAGCCACTGAAGGTGTCTTTGGCTCTTGCTACCTGTGGATATGTTCCTCGCATTGTCCTTTGCAACTGTCTTTGATGTGCGTGAGGACATACAAACATTCTGGTGTCCTTGTTCTGTGTGGAATTGTGCCCAGATTTGCTGTTAGAGCTGGTGTTTTGTTGCTTTAATACACATGTGCCGATATTGCATAAAAGAATTGTGCCGGCTTGATGTTTCTTTCAACACCAGCTGTGGTCCCCCATGGTCTAGGGACCTCCTGAATGGAAACATTGCCTCACTAACATCTGGGACACCTCCCCCAAACAATCCAGTGCTGATTTGTCATTTTGTTCAATGTGTAGCTGTCCAATAAGGTCCCTGATAATGAGGACTGTGCCCTGATGCTGCAGAACAAGTGCATGGGCACTTTCTGCACAGGCACTTTCCTATGACGTGCACCCACATCCTGAGCAAGAAAGGGTGGTGTGACACAATTCCATGTTGTGATTGATACTGTAGAAGCCCCTGTAGTTGCGAAAGGAATGCACCACATGCAACTGCACATTCTGAACACGAGCTTGCTCTCTTGTGCCTCAAAACGGGAACAATGGAAGAAGGCCCGGCTTACTTTTGCTGGTCGTCAGCACTCCAGTGCACAAGCTTATCCTTGTTATGTACCAAATCCAGATGCATGCTGTTTTGCAGCTGTACTTTGAGCGATTCTTGGTCTCTGCTCGGTGCAAGCTGTGGTGGATGACGCCAGAGTGGGGCAGCAAAACGCAGCAGCTACCCCCCGAGACACAGTTCATGTTGGTTGAGCTGCAGGAAGGCGGCCCCTATGCTGTGCTGCTGCCTTTGATCGACAGGAACCACTTCAGGGCAACGATCAGGCCGCCCAGGTGCTTCGATTTGTGGCTTAATACGAACATATTGGCGAACCGAACTGTGGTTTGCATGGCTTTGGGTGACAGGGTCGCAGAGCCTGTGCTGCTGTGAAAATTGCAAACCCCAATGTGCAACTTGGAACAGAACCTATATCCAGGGGGCTACAGCCATTGGGTCACATGAGAGAATGTGCTGCAATAGAACATCAAGAGAGTCACAAAGTTGTCAACAGCATTGTGTCGCATCCTTGAGCATAGCCCTGTTGGATGGAGGCAGTTGGGAGGGACCACAGGTAGTGCATTCGAATCCGTGACATCGCAGTGGTCAAACATTCCTTGCAGGCTCGATCCTATTTAGGGCAGATGATGTTAATTGGTTTAGTGGTAAATCACGGGCACTTCATGAACCAGCGTCTGTGGGTGTGAGCAGCGCTGGAGAGCCTAATGGATGTGAGGAAATGCCCACCCAGCATGTTCTCATTGCAAATAGGGAATGATCTTGTTGACATTGTGGCAAGGTAGCACACTAACAGGAGGAAGAATGCCATTCTGCTCTTCCACTTTGCTTCATGTTGAAAAAATCATCTAGCACAGTTTTCCCTTGGCATCATTGGCTTCAGGAATGAATGACTGTGTGCGCCATGTATTGTGAAAAGCAACACACTGGTCATGACACAACTCTATCCTGAACTAAGATAAGATCATCAAGCGGCATCAGTTGCCGTAGCGGCCTTAGAGGGCACTCTTCACTGAAAAGGTTGGGTCCACGAGAGAGATGCCAATGCATCTAGTGTCCCTTTCGTTTTTTACTTTTGTGTGGCCACATCCATCGCCAAGAGTGCGAGGATCCGTGCTGTGCCAACTACGGTTTTCTTCAAATGACCAGATTCCTTGCACTCACAGATATCCTCTTGCTGGCCAGGCCACCCCACTTTGGTCAGGATCAGGAACTGATCATCAGAGTTGAAAATGGCGATGCGACCGTCAAGGGGAACAAGTGGGAGAGTGAGTGCCTGTTTTATCTTGTGTGAATCCTTTGACTACACTGATGCGACTTTTGTTGCTGAACTGAATTTATGTTCACTGCATTCCATGTCTGGCAACATAGAATCATGTTGTGGGTGGCATAATTGACGCACATATAATGGAATATAGCAATTCTGGCACAACTGGCTCCTCAAACGTTTGCAACCCCAAAAAGTCCACATCCTGCATCCATGATTGACGCCCACAGTTTTGCACTGGTATGAAACAAACAAAAAGGATATTTCTACCAACAACAGAAGTGGCAGAATAGCACCAACAACAGAATAGAAGCAGCAATAGGTGAGAATGAAATAACAAGACATATGATTGAGTTCTAACGCTTGTGCCTATGTTCCCAAACTTCTTCACATTGTGGACGCTCATGGATGCATGCGGCATTGTGCCCTGTGCAGACTGCCTCTACATCGCTGCGGGCTGGAACCCCTTTGAGCTTGTGGATCAGGGTGTGGCTGCAGCAGCGGCCATCTCGGGAACCGCCAGGGTGCGGCGTGAGAAGCGCATACCTGCCAGCCTGGACGCCTTTGGGTGGTGCACCTGGGATGCCTTTTACAGCAGGGTGTCAGCAAGGGGATTGGTGGAGGGTGTGACCAGCCTCCGCAAGGGGAACACGCCACCAAGGCTGCTCATCATCGATGATGGTTGGCAGGTGATGAGCTGAATGAATGTATCTTTAGCAAGTAGAAATGAACACTAACTTAAAATGCTTCATCCTGGTGTCAATTGATCGCATTTCCTGGGGAGGCGGCATTTGAACTTGTGCAGGTACTTGTTGCTTTCTCGGAACAAGGACAACTTCCATGAGCTTATAAATGCCATCGATATTCATGAACAGATGTGTACCGTGCAGATGGCGTTTGTGAGCTCATGCGACTCAGGTTGAAGGGTGGAAAATTCTCGAGGTCTTGCCCCACTCCCCCTGTCGCCCCTCTTAACGGTCCCTGGAGTGGGTCACCTTGCGCCTGAGAGTGTGCAGCACAAATGCACATTAATGGCCAGCATTTTGGTTACAGATCAGGGCTGCTCCTGTAGGAGGAGGTGAACTGCAGAGATTGGTTCTGTACCACTCAAAGGTTGATCCCAACCATGGTTTTGACAACCCAACAAGATTTGCATATGCAGGTTGGAATCCAGAACTTGGCCAAGTTCATAGTTTGACTAGGCTTGGGACGGCTGCTGCGTGATTGCTCAGCCCATCTCAGAATGGAACTGAGCCACCAGCAACATATCCACATTGACCATGTGCGAAATAGACATTGCGAACAATACATATGGCAGCACATCTTGACTGTCTGTACTAAAGAAATTATTACCAAAGTGGACGTTTGGATCATGTCAAGCTGAAAGGGTGTGCTTTTCTTGCCTCTGTGCAGCAAACGGATGCTGACCCATGGCTGAGGACCCCATCCAATGGAAAGCAATCCCCTCCGAATGCCCCTCAAGCACCACCAAGGGCAGTTGCAGGTGGGCCTGGCACCCTCGTGGCTGCCTCGGAGCAAAAGGGTCTTGGAGAATTGGAGGAGCTGGAGGGCGATGGGTCTATGAACATCACCACTGCTGCTGACGAAAAGATCGACATGGCTGCGGACGACATCGCTGAGCGCCAAAACTGCTGGCAACGCTTCATAATCTGGTTCATGGGGATCCTGCAGGGCCTGATTGTGTTCCTGTATCTGAAGATAATCGACCCCGCTCCGCCAGGGTCGCTGAGAGTGCGGGCGTTCACTGCGCTTGCGAATGGTGGGTATTGTTTGCTAATTCTCTTGTCAAACCTGCTAGAATAGATATTTGGCTTGTATGATTGTGGCCAATTGCCTGCGTCTTAAGTTTACTCCTGATTTATGATATGTTTCACTTGCGGTTTGTTGCAATCAATAGAATATATACGAGTGGATTGTCAGCCTGCTTTCATTGTTTCTTTGAAGAAATTGGACCTCAAAATATTGCGAACTGTGGTTCCTGCCTCTGTCCCCCTAATGTACGGTTGCTTTTAATTCCCATCTCTCACATTCAAAATGTGCGTCAGTTGCTGTGTGGTGTGAACAAAAATACTGTTGTGGTGGTGGACGTTCAAACCTTGCTGGTTTCTCTTTTGTGCCTCAGGGCCCATGAAATACACCCTCCTCAAGTTTTATGCTGCAGCGGGCGACTTCTCTCGCCGCCTGGTCTCTGTCAAGGCCAACGGGAAATTCTCCTCCCCGGCCGCTGGTCCTGAACACCACGCCCTTGGCCACCAGGTGAACCAGGAAGTGACTCCCAGCAATTGCAAATGAAGTATTTTGGAATATGGCCTTTTTGGCGATCGTGTTGTGGGCACTGTGCATGCAGACTTGTGCCTAGCATCACCTTGCAGGCACAAGAGCTGTGTTTGTCATTTTTTGACAATTTAGTCCAAGGATTTCCACCCTATGCGCCCTGTCAGAAGAGGGGTTCTGAAGTGATCTGAATTGGATCCCTTGCATTCCTTTGCAATTTGTGGCAGCACAAAGTCAGCCCAAGTGTTGCACCATCGAATTCTCAAGAGCATCAAATACAACAAGTTGCATGTGGGCATGTCTGTGCTGTAGACCTTTGCAGAAGTTGATGGATTCGAACATGGACATTTCTTTGTGGGGTGCTTTCTCGATGCGAAATGTCAAGCACAATTACTTGGTGACAATATGAATAGAAAGCGTATGATAGGGGCATATTTCAGCCAACAGTTTGTATGCAAAGGACAAGAGCTTAGCGGGTTTCAAGTGGGTTCAACGCTATTGTCTTTTCTTGTTGTGGAAGTCAATAGTAACATTAACTCCATATATTGCACCTTATATTTACTTCACATATTATTGAATGCATTCATGGGTTCCAACGCTGGATGTTGATCTGGAGGCGGCGTTTGTGGAGAAGGCACTTGCGTTGTGGACATTCTGTGCATGGGGTTGTGCCCGACATCGCCTTGGTGGGGGGTAAGGGCTCTTTTTTGTTGAGACTAATACATTCTCATCTGGCTTGAACCTGCTTGCTCATTTGTGCGAACTAAAACTAAAACTGATGCATATACAATGCTTTTGTGCATTAGCAAAGGATTTATACCATGTGCACCCTGTGCAGGCTGTTGCCTTGCAAGCATGTGGGCACTACTTGTAATGGTTTGGTGAATCTTGCCATGTAGACTGGCAAAGCAGCAGCCTGCCAGCGGACCTTCAGTGGTGGACGGGAACGGTCAAATCACCAGGGAGCACGACGTGTGCTTAGGAACAGCGCCTGGCTATGAAAGCTGCAGTGGATTGTCATGTTCTTGACAGGCGATGACAATTGCGATGCATGAAGTAAATGGGCATTGTGATCCACAGGAGCTGAACGAGTTGCTGGCTGTTGCAGTCATGCCAAATAAGTGCCAGTGCCCTGTCTTGTGCCAGTCTGGCAGTGTTGGGACGCACTTCCTGATCATATGGGTCGCGCTTCCAGGAACGCCTTGCCGATGTGGTGGCCCACCTGCGACAGCACCTGGGCTTGCAGCACATTTATTGCTGGCACGGCCTGCCAGCATACTGGAGCGGGGTGATGCCAGAGGGGGAAGGTGTAACTAAGTATGGGGCAAGGATCGAATATGCAAAGCCCGGTGGGACGCTGTTGGAGATTGAGCCATCTCTGGCATGGAACCCGTCGGTGCTGGGGGGCGTGGGTGTGGTGGACAGGCCTGAGGAACTCTACAATGATATGCACAGCTACCTCAGTGAAGCAGGTGAGCTGCGCATGGCAGGGGGGCTGGAGTGCTCTTCTCTAATTTCTTTCCTTGTTCCCCATTTTGTTTGCTTTTTTTTCCTTTCTTGTTTCATGAGTTGTTTTGTGTGGCAGGGCTCATCTTTTCACTTTTTCAGCTATTCATTCAATCTGTCTGTTTGCCTGCCTGTGTGTCTGTTAGTCTGCCTGTCTATCTATAAGTGCATTTATCAGCCGAATTCTGAGGTCAGTTTGCTGGTCTGTTGATCAATCCAAACTTGATGGGAATGGACATCAACAACAAAGGTGGCAACACCCATTTTGCAGTAAAGCATGGTTGTCATTTGTTCACATATCTTCTGCAACTGTACCCTGCAGCATTCAAGTATGCAAAGGAAAAATGTACAAGTTCTGCCATGCTTCCACAGGCGTCGATGGTGTCAAGGTGGACTGCCAGGCTGGCGTTGGGCTCATGGGCTCATGCCTTGGTGGCGGACCTGCTTTATCAAAGAAGTTTCATGCAGCATTGGAGAGCTCAGTGGCCAAATACTTCCCAGGGAACCACTGCATCAACTGCATGTGCCACTCGACAGAGAATATCTACAGGTTTGCTCTGTGTTGATGTCTGAGGCTGTTTTCCATCAAGAAGTTGGGCACATCTAAAACGGATATGTGTAGGCAGAATTGTCAACCAGCAAATGTATATGCAGAACTGATTTGTTGTATCTGCTTGGGGTTCAGTCAAGGCACTGCATCAGCCACTTCTGCTGTTTGCTTTTGAAGATCATTTATGGTTCTACAAGTCTTCCACCCTTAGGGCCTGCAATGTGCATGATCACCATGCTAACCTGATGATGCTAGTGTCAGCAAAAGAAGTGCCATAATGTGAATGCCTTGATGAATAGGAAAGCTTTTAGATCTCTCTGTTGTGCCAACCCAGTTGAAAGGAGCTGTTGCTCACATTGACTCAAGGTTGTGTTCTTTCGATGTGGTTAACACGATCTTTGGCTGCCATTTGTTGGTACTTGTGATAGTTGACAATGTGATAGAGTCAATTTTGGCTGCCGTTTATTACGATTTGTAGCAATTGCCAAGACCATTGCGATCAATCGTCACAATCTGCAAGGGACAGCCCCAGATTCATGACATACGATTGCCACGAGTTTTTACTGCATCTTGCGGAAGTTAGTGCCGATTTCATGAAATGATTGCTGCGCTTTGGGGCTGCCCCTCAATGCAGCATGTGACAATCCACACAGTGGCTGTCTAAAATTGTCTGATCGCAGGAATTCAAGCTGTCCATTGATGATTTCCCTAAATAAATGAAGAGACGTTGGTTGATCATTTCTCACAAAGCACAAGTTTTATGTGATTATTTTTGGCAAGGGATCACTAGACGTTGGACAGTTCTATTAAATCCAACAAAGTCGACTTGAACGATTAAATCAATTGACAAGATTCCCTGAATCCAGGTTTGAGAACACGGCTGTGGCCCGTGCCTCTGATGATTTCTACCCCACCAACCCTGCCTCCATCACACCCCATATTGCAGCTTCTGCCTACAACTCCCTCTTCCTGTCGCCCTTAGTCATCCCAGACTGGGACATGTTCCACAGCGAGCATGTGGGGGCGGACTTGCACGCCGCAGCTCGTGCTGTAAGTGGCGGCCCCGTGTATGTGAGCGACAAACCAGACATGCACAATTTCGCAGTCCTGCGACAGCTGGTGCTTGCTGATGGGTCGATCCTGAGAGCAGAAGCACCTGGGCGGCCCACAAGGGATTGCTTGTTTCGCAACGTGCTGAAGGACAAGAGGACACTGTTGAAGGTGTGGATTCGCACAATTGCAAGTGACAAATTTGGGCATTTTTGCGCATGCTTGTTCAAGCAGGTAGCTGTGCTGGAAGGAATGGCACGCACTGTCTGTTTGCCTTTCCAAGTGTGACAGAGATTGCTTTCATTCAAACAGTTAAGAAGCACAGCGTATACATGATTCCAAGAAGCTGATCGTCAGCTCACTAATTCCACTGTGTTGATTCGCTTGTATCTTTCACAGGTATGGACCACCAACGCCTGCTCGGGCGTGGTGGGCATCTTCAACCTGCAGGGGGCCTCCTGGGACCGCACCATCCGCCAGTTTTGCACTCATGACACCAACCCCTCCACCCTCCAGGTGCGTGCCATTTCCAGGAACTTTTGTACTTTTGAGCTGCAGGATATCAGCACTGGTAGTTGCTTACTGACAACTTTTCAAGAAGACCGTGCTGGTATTTGGGTGTCAGTGCTGCCACACTTGCACAACAAGCAACAGTGTGAATCATTTGATTAGGGTTGACAAATGACAAGGACACCCGTTGCACCTTCAAGGTGATGTTGTCGATTAGCCCATGTGCACATTGTCCAAAATACCACCTCAAGAGGTGCAATTCAGCCATTCTTGTGTTCTCTATAACAAGCATCGCTGTGTTCTGGAATACCTGCTATGGGCACAGGGAACAAACATGAACAGTTACTGCTGTCAGAAGTGGTGCCAGTCCAGTGCTGTCCAATACTAACAGTACTGCCTCCCTTTCTGCAACTGTGTCTGGTCAGTGTCCCATGCCTGAGAATCTTGCATTCCTGCACACCACGCGGATGTCCTACCCAATTGTGTAATCCTGACTGTGGTTTGGCACCATTTCAATAGCATGGCACTGGTAGAAATGATCAAAATCATGGCTAGGACAACATGATTTTGGTTGCATTGAAATGCAAGTTGAACACAGTTGGAAACTGCGTAAATTGGCGTTGTTTGGCTGAGTGCTGAGGGAAACGCGCTCATCACATCATGGCAGGTGCAAGGGGTGTTTTTGCCATGTCTGGTGTGCACATGTAGAATGTTGAACGTTGATTTTGCTTGAATGTTTCTACATTCCATGAGCGCTGCAGCCATTGCTGAAGCTGCAGCTCAGGCTCTTTAGCCGTTAGTGCCCTGGCCTCCGAAATCGAAGTACTGAATAGATAGCAATCTTAAGATTTGGTGTAAAGAGACTGAGCTTTTTCACAGTAGAAAGGCCACAGCACTGACATTCCATCTTTTGCTCATGCACGCCAGGCGCACGTCTGCCCCGGAGATGTGGACTGCCTCCCTGCACGCGCCGCCACCACACCTGGCTTCAACGGCCGCTACGCTGCCTACTCCTTCCGTGGCAGGCTGCTGAGAGTGGGCGGGTCGGGGCTGTGCCTGCCCGTGCGCCTGGAGGCGCTCGGCAGTGAGGTGGTCTCCATGGCCCCGGTCCTTGAGGCCCTTGGGGTGCAGTTCTGCCCCTTGGGCCTTTCTGGGATGCTGAACGGGTCCGGCGCAGTGATCACATGCCGGATTGGGTCAGGGGTTGCTTCGATGAGTGGTGGTGCGGAATTCGAAATGGATGTTCGGGGCCAGGGGGAGTTTTTGATGTACGCAAGCAGGAGCCCGAGCGCCGTGTGGTTTGGAGCGGAGTCGTTGGCGTTTGAGTATGAGCCGGAGATGGGGGCGGCGACGGTGGTGCTGCCAGAGACGGTTCAGCCCGTGAACTGCCTCAAGGTGGCGTTCTGACCAGGTGCACCGCAATGGCTGAGCTGAATCAATCAATCAAGAGCCCGATTACTCGTCGCATGGGCGTCAAGGGACACGGCGCCTGCGACACATGGAGTGCCTGGACGTTTCAAATGAATCACAACGTGGCAATCTGCAACATGCTCCATGTGCGCCTTAGAGCAGTTTTTTTGTCTGTGTTTCGGCACTGAGTGGGGTGCTTTGGACTGGGCAGTTGGTGTGGCAGATGTTGCAGTCCCAGGAACGTGGAACCAGGGCACTGTGCAAAGTACTGGGAGGCGTTGTACTGCTTGAGCAGCTTGAGTGTCGAGCGTACGTTCAAATGAGTGCTTTGTACTGGGGCGTGGCTGTTGGAGCGTGCTTACCTGAGAGCGCCCTGCGGTTCTCATTGTGCTTGCCGCAGCCTTGTTTTTGACCAATCGCGTTTGTTTTCCTGTTTACCGGGCGCGACTTGCCTGTGTAGGGCCGATTTTGAGGTTGTGAGTGTGTTTTGGCCTGTAGGCACTTTTTCCACACCTTGCACAGCTGCATTGCGCCTGCAATGCAGAAGCAGGACAATTGTGGCGTGTCTCTCCGCTATGTCTTCATTTCTCGCACTGATTGCACATCTGTCGTGGGGAAATGCATAGTTTCTGTATTATCTCATGTGTTTGTTTGTCATAACAATGGTTTTTGCAGTTTCATCAGGAATATATAGTATTTCTGTTAATGCTATATCCGGGTGAAGTTTGTCCAGAACATGTCCTTGAGCACTCATTTCAGCAATGAAAAATGACAAAAGGGGTCCTCTCCTCTGCGACAAAAGGGGAGCCTCTGTGGTGGAGCAAATGACACGAAGGAGGGGGGGGGGCTCTGAGCCCCACCCATGCATTAGACACGTTGCTGGTCCGCCATCAGTCCACCGCCAGGCCACACCGTGGCCCCACTAGGGGCGACCCCACAGAGGACCCTTTTTGTCATCTGCACCCCGCAGAGGACCACCTTTTTTCAATTCCCTTTCAACAAACGCTGGTCGCTATCAGTGTTCGGACACGATGCGCTTGGGTCGTTCAGATTGGAGAGTCGGCTCAAACCGATGTACAAAACTGACAGCTTGGCGCAAATAGTCCCTGAATGAAACGCACTATTTGTTTTCCGTATGTTTCGCTCTCACAACTCTCACAACAAGAGCGGGAGGGGTGGGCCGGGGTCCTGGGGCCGTGACCTGCATGTACATACCTGAGGATTTGGCCATGTCGATATGGCCTCTGGGTGAAAAAATTGTTGGTGGTGCACATTTCAAAAGTATGGTACATGCACTGCAGATCACGGAGGATAGTGTGTGTGGGTGTGGCGGTGGGTGGAAGGGGGTTGAATAGTGCCGGGCCTTTAGAAAAACGCCCGGGCGTTATCGCAAACATGGCTGGTGTTATGGAGCGCTGGGAGTATGGGGGAGAGGGCTATTCAGTCAACAACACATACAACCACAACCGCAATGCAAAAGCATTTTCACACATTCTTATATTTCATGGCATATGCTATCACCCCAATGTTATCAAGTTCACTCCAATTAAACATTGCCATGACATTCCTCCTGCAATCAAACACCATGTCCTCAACATTCTCAGTACCTAGCTCCATAATACCATCACTCAAACCAAAGTCATCGAGATCTCCAGGCTGTCTCTAGTGCAGCGCGACTTCCCAATAGCTGTCATTGGTTGGCGCCGTGATTGGTGCCTTACGTAAATTCATGTAATGCTGAGTAATATGCTACATTGGCCCGGCACCGGTTCGCTTTGCCAATCAATCTGGCAACGCGGGTGGCGCAGCAAAATGCAGCGACCTGTGGCGCCCCTTCACTTTTTTTGGCGCCGGTTTTGGCTGCTGCCTTGAGTGGCGCCTTATGTAGTGCGCTAAGTTGGTGGGGCGCTAGTACGCTTTGCTGCCAGTACGGGGGCCAGCGTGATAACTCGGCGGGGCGCTACTGAGTCAGCGACGTGATGCTGAACGCGGGGGGCACGAAAGATAGCGTTGGGGCATGCAAGATAGCGCCACCCGTATTTCTGACGTTAGCTCTGATGTGGAGTGCAGGGGGACTCTTTCCTCCGTGATCTGCGGTACTCGATATACATCACGCATGAATATCCATGGTTGTTTTGCGCATTTTGAATGCTGGGTATCATTGCTTCATCGGCTGTGTCAGACTCGACTTGGCCAAAGCGACGCCGGTTGTCCGCGCCACGCATAGCCCTGGAGGTCGACAACACTTCAATACAAGGGCTGTTTCTGTGAGGCTTATCTTCCAAGAACTTCAGAGTGGTTCCAAACAGGGACAAACATTCAATGAACGGGTACCGTTCTGCTGTGATTTGCACAGCCTTTGGGCAAATGTGTTTTTGCACATTGTTCTTTGCTAATCCTAGTACTTCAATGTTTTAGTTCGATTAAGACACTAAAACAGATGCGCGAATTGGGGGCGGGTTTTGCCAGAGTAAATGAGAATCAAATTTCAATCTATTTCAATCGTCATAATAAATTTTGAATCAATATTACAAAGTGTTGCATTCAGCTGTTACATTCCTTCGCTATCAGCAGCTTGCATGCTCTCTTAACTTCCAGCATACTGAAGGATCGTGCAGGTGCCTCCTAGCGATGTGAACGATTCGGCCCGTCACATTTTGCATTATACCTTTATCCATTCCAGATCGCTTTTATGCTTCCATGTTCTTCCTTAACGACCACTTAGTGGAACGGGAGGGGAAAATTGGAAACTGTGGTAGCATGCAGGCCAAGTTTTGCCTGCCAGAACCAAATGCGGTCAGGTTGGACATCTGTGGCACCACCGAAAATCAGTATGCCACTCTCCGATAGAGCAAAGGCTTGCACTGTCCCTCACACCTGCGGTGTCGAATATTGGGAAACAAGATCAGCAACTTAGATTGGACAGTTTTAATGGAGTCATATGTCTTCCTTTTCAGCTTTTAGGCGATAACATTTTCATGTCATGAGAGATAATGTTGAGTTCTCCAGGTGCACACATCAAGCCTCCCCAGATAGTAGTGGACAGCCATGGTGTATATATGCTAATTCTTGTGTCACTTTGCCCAAAAGAGTTCGACACCTCGTGCAGGTCGAGCGCCCACTCCCATTTCAATATCACTAAGTTCGTTGCACTTGTCCGTCACTAAAGACTCGCATTGAAAATCCAACGATGAATTGATTCCCACGCGGACAAGTATACACCACAAATATCTAGAATGTTCTGAGCACAGAATTGATGGATCAACTTTCGTGCAAGTTTTGGATCCAAAATCTGCATCGGGCTTTACAAGATGTGCGTTTGACAGTAAACTTGCGGCGGAATGAACAGCAACATGTGCTGAACTCAAAGGCCATTCCCGTTGATTGAATCATGTCCAGAATTCTGCAGCGTAACTGGTAACAGCTCACCATCGAACGGCACAACAGCTCCGGCATATCATTAGTAGCATCAGGAAGAGTCTGCATGCGCCGTGCCAACTGCCGCGCTTCCGTTCCCGAAACCACCACGTTGGCTTCCATCCTCCCTGGAAGCTGCACCGTTTTGTACAAACAGCTCAATTGGACACAATTCCTACCTAATTCAGCCCCCGTTAGTCCTAACAGCCACTGCCCCCACTTATAGGCGCACACGTCACTAGACCCTTCCCACCCACAGAAACCTTGCCCACTGGCCCGCTGCCAAATCTGCCGACCCTGGAGCCGCTTCCCCTCCGGCTCCTCTCCGCTTCCCTCCCGCTTCCTCTCCCCCCACCCCCCACCCCCCCCGCTCCTTCTCCTCTTCGCCTCCACTTCGCTTTTGCTCACTCCGCGTGTTGACTCGGTCAATTCCTTAACAAAAATTTTGGGCCGTCGCGGCGGACAGCATGGCGCCGAGGGCTCAGACGAAGAAGCCAAGCCGCAGGAAGGCCAAGAAATTGGGCCCGGAGGACCAGCAGAGCGTTAAGGCCCAGCGGGTCAGTGGGCCCGCGCCCTGTCCGTGGGCCCCACCCGCTGCATGGTTATTTGAAATCCTTGGATTTTCGAATCTTTGGAGCACAGGTCGTAAATGGGAATTCAGTCCTGAAATTTGCGTAAGAAATTGGACCCGGAGGACCAGTAGGGCATTACGGCCCAACGGGCCAGCGGGCCCGTGCCTCAGTCGGTGGGCACTGTCCGAACACCCCACTACATGGTTATTCGAAATCCTTGGACCTGTTACCAATCTTGGAATCCGGGTCGCAAATGGGAATTTAATCCCGTACAATCCGGTTGCCCGCTTGGGCAGTCTGATGAATGGCGGTCGCGCGTGTGCAGGCGTTGTCCTTCGATGCGGGAAGCCCACCGCTCGCGGCGGACGGCTGCGGCTTGCCTTGCCTGACGGTGAGTCGCCGCGGCGCTCGCCGGCGCGCAAATTGCGCGTTGACCGACTGGAACGAAATATCTCGCCCGCATCAACGTGGATGTGCGATGCGGAATTGCGCTCAAGTCGAATTCGTGGCTTGCATCGAGACTTGGGAGCATTTTGGTGGCGAAATGCTGCCTGTTTTGCAGGGCTTCCGATCGCGGACAAATTTCGCCGAATTGTTGAGCAATGCGCTTTAGAAACGTGAGCCGATTTCGTATGTAATTTGCTAGTGGTTTAACCGCATATAATTTTTTGTGATATGCGATGTTGCCTTATACGGGTATCTGACATGCTAGCATACGCATGTGTAGTTACGGAATTCGATGTTAGCCGTGCCGTTGGTTCAGTTTTCGATAGGTTTTTGCTTGGGCAAATCTACATGTTAACAATTTTTGCGGCAAGAAACATATCATTCGCTTAGCGAATAGATCCAAAACATGGCAATATCGCCCTTGCCGAGTCACTTCCATGCACTTTGAATGATCTAGCTCAGGATATTGTCGCGACTCTCACAAACGTTCTCTTTTTGCATTTCTGAACGTATATCGGTGCATTAATTAGTATTCGGGCTTCTTTGGTCGTTAAGATCCCC